GATAATCTTGGAGCCAGATTGTGGAAGATATTACACATGCTGGCTAATAAATTTGGACTTTATCCTGTAGGCTTTGGGGAATGGCTTGATGAAAGGAAGACTTTTTCAGGAAGAGTAATGTGACAATTTTGTGCAGGATAGATTAGAGGGAGAAGAATCCAGAGAAACAGAAAAAACAATTCTTGCAATAGCTTAGGAAGGGGGTATTAATGTTCTGAACTAGGGTGGTGGCATTTGGAATGGAAGGAAAGGGGTTGTTATCAAACATATGGGGAAGCAAGAAATCATAGGACTTGCTGACAATAAATTTGAGAGGCAAGGGAGAGGAAAGTGTCAAAGAGCCCAACCAAGCCAAGAAGGATGGAAGGCATTGTGCTGGGAATGATAGAATCGGAAAGAAAGTTAAAAAAGAGGAGAAGGTGTAAACAAATAAGCATATCCATGATGATTTGAGGGAGAATGTGCTAACAACTTGGGGTATCAGGAAAAGCTCCCTGCAAGAGATAGTACATGAACTAAACCTCAAATGAAACTAAGAACTAAGAGCATGAGGTAAAGAGCAAGAATATCCCAGGCATGGGGGACGATCTGTGTAAAGATACATAGACAGGAGATGGAATGCAGGCCAGTTTGGTTGGAATGTAGAGTGGGTGAAGGGCAGCCATGTGAAATAAGCCTAAACAGGTAGCCTAAAACCAGATTGCAGGTGTTTTAAATGCCAAATTGAAGGAGGAGTTTGTGTTTTATCCTCGAGGTGCTGGGGAACCCTGAAGGTTTTTGAGCCAGTAGCTAGGCAGGTTATTTTTCTGCTCTGTGGCAGACAGATTGGAGGGAGCACAGACTAGAAGCCAGGGTGTCCAATGAGAAGGCAACATGTGATGATGACCTGTCCTGAGGTGGTAGCTGAGTGAGTGCAGAAGACACAGATGTGATAAATATTGGGGGTGTAGAATCGACCAGACTTAGCAAATCGGGCAGATAACAGCAGGGAGGGAGAAGAAAGAGCTGAAAATGACTGATATGGCAAACATGGGTGACTAGAAGGATCGAGTTCTCAACAGAAATAGAATAGTTTGGTGGAAGTTCATGTTTGGGGGAATGACAGTGCGTTAGTTCTCTTTTAGACATGTTGAGTTGGAAATGACTACGGGCCATCTAGGTTTAAATATTCAAAGGGCGGTGCAGTGGGTGAAGTAGGATTAGAACTCAGGAGGGAGTCTAAGGCTGTATAAGCAGATCTGAGAGCCATCTGCATAGAGATGAAAATTAAAGCCATGGGAGAGAGAGTATAGAGAAAGAAGAAAAGGTAGGCAGGACAGATCCATGTTGTACATCCATGCTTAGGTAGGGTGGGACATAGGTGAGGCTAAAAAAGAGATTAATGGATGCTTTAAAGGAGCATTTAGAGAGACAAGGAAGGGCCAGGAGATGGTGATACCATGAGCACTTTGGGAGGAAAGAATGTCCAGGAGGAAGGGTAGTTAGCACTGTCAAATGCTTCTGAAAGATCAAGACAGAAAAAGATTGGGAAAAGACCATGAGATGTAGCGATTAGTAGGCCATTGGTAACCTTGGAGAAAGCAGTTTCAGTTGAGTGGTAAGTCCAGAAGTCAGATTGAGAGTGTGTCAGTCATCAGAGTTTGTCTGCAAAATGGAGGAAGGATAGACTAGGGATGGGGAACCTGCAGCCTCGAGGCCTTCTAGGTCCTTGGGCTCTTGGGTTCTAGGCCTATTAATTGAGTACAAGTTTTACAGAGCAAATCTTTTTCTTAAGGTGATTTGTTCTGTGAAGTTTGGATTCAGTCAAAGGGCTGAAGTTGAGGACCTAGAGGGCCACACATGGTCTTGAGGCCGAAGGTTCTCCACCCCTGGTATGGGATGATAGCTTCATGGCAAGATACAAAAGTTTGCACTGAGATGTTGCAGTAATAGGGGATCTGGCTTGAGAAGTAACTCAAACTTTGATTTTTTTTGGCCTTTCTTTGAATTCCCAGCACTTAACACAGTGCCTGGCACATAGTAGGTGCTTAATAAATCCTAGTTAACTGACTGCCTGACTTGTTAAACTTGAAGTGACAAATCGGTAGTTTTAGCTAACATTTCTGTTGTGCTTTAAGGTTTATTTTCAAGGCTTTTTCCATACACCAGCCTTATTGCAAGTATTCCTAACCTCACTTGTAGATGTGCAAACCCAAGCTCAGGGTGGTTACACAGGTGCTCGCTAATGAACTGAGTCTTCAAGGAAGTTTGGACTTTTAAGAGGCAGAGGTGAGGACGAACGGCATTGGCGGTGCAGCTTGTCACCTGACAGGAGAGACAATGGCAAGTCTGGGGAACCACGAGGATGCCAATTTGGCTCCAGTCAGAGAATGTGGGAAGGGGAGAGATGGGAAATTAGAATGGAAAGGTCATATGGACCCAAGTGGTAAAGCCTGAATTGGAACCATGTGCTGTGATGCCCAGTTGAGTCACCTTTCCACGACATGTTGCCTTTTACAGTTGGTAGTAGAAGGCGTGCCTTTGTGTGTTTTGGTCAAAGAATTGACTAAGTATTGGGAATAATTCTTTGGCTACAAAGGGAATCTATCCAGAAACTCACTGTCTTCCTACTTATTCGTCCCTGTTAGTAGTGTCTTCTCTCGGCAAATTACCAAGTGCTGCTGCCCTTGTTCAATGATTTATTTTCTATCTGAAAGACAATATCCAATATTTAGTAAATTCTTTGATTAAACTCTGATCTGACACCATTTAACAATTCTCAGTTCTCACAGAAAGCTTTTTGAAAGATGTTGATATTAGTTATTTACCTTACTTAGAACATCTGGCCCATGAAAGATAAATCCATTCAACAGATGATATTTCTAATGAATGCTCTTTGCCTTTTGAAATATAGTATTAAAATGATCAAAGGGGAAAAAAAGCCAGTCTTCTGGAACAGATTTCAAGGATACTACACACAACTGAATGAATAAAAGTAATAACAGATAAAGCTGATAAAACTGTAGAGGACACTACACACAAGAGTGTACCTAAATATGCAGCTGAATGATTTTCAAGAGCTTCATTAAGGCCAACTCTAGCTCCACTTTTGAAAATCCAGAGTTGTGGTTCAGCTGGGCCTATTAGCTTACTCTAGCCAGACACGCATCTAGACGGTGCAGTGGATAGGAGCGCTGGACTCGTAACCAGAAAGACTTGGATTCAGATGCAGCCTCAGACACTGACTAGCTATGTTACACTTGGTGAGTCACTTAGCCACTGTCTGCCTCAGTTTCCCCATCTACACAAAGAGGATAATAAGAGTACCTACATCCCAGGGTTGTTGTGAGGATAAAGTGAGATGATATTTATAAAGAGTTTTGCAAACCTTAAAGCGCTATATGATTGCTAGGTATTATATTATTATCCTTATTATGCATTGCTTCGTGCCCCAGAAAGGGATTCTTGCCTTGCCAAATGCATTTGTACACTTTCTAAACACATCCCTTTATTTAACAAGTATTTATTGCAAAGCACTAGGCTAGGCCCTGTGGGAAATGTAGTGATGAATAAGATTACAATGTGCTTTGTTGTGAAGACCCCCACCTTTGTGTTCTAGGATATGAAAGCTGTCAGATGCACTGAGGTGGCTGAGGGTGGTGGGCTGGCAACAGCAAGGCGCTGGGTACTTAAAATTCATAATCTCTAAAGCCCAAGTCCCACACCCTTCACTTCTCAGTGCTTGCTTCTTCCTCCAGAACTGCAGATCACAGGGTGTCTTTTCTACAGCATAAAGTCAATATAAATTGTATTTTAAAAAATACATGGATACATACTATGCTAAAAGATCTTGAAAAATCTGGGGTTTTCTCTTACTTTTCAGGGTAGCTAGGTGGCACAGTGCCAGGGCTGGAGTCAGGAAGACTCATCTTCTTGAGTTCAAATTGGACCCCAGACACTTACCAGCTGTGTGACCCTGGGTACGTTATTTAACCCCGTTTGCCTCAGTTTCCTCATCTGTGAAATGAGCTGGAGAAGGAAATGGCAAACCACTCCAGTATCTCTACCAAGAAAACCCCAAATGAGGTCATGAAGTGTTGGACTAGGGCTGAACAACTCACCCGTCTCCTGTATTTTCTGCTAGCACTTCAGTCTTTGGGGTGGGGTGGGGTGGGGGGAAACTCCTGCCATATATTATAAAGAGCATTCGGAAAGCCCCACTAGAACAGGATAAGATAAACAGGTGCCTAAATTAGAGCCTACCCCGAGAGCTGCTAGGAGAGCTCTCCAGCAGCTGTCTCTCCTGCTTTCCCTAACCTACGAGCTGTAGGCTGGGAAGAATGCAAATTTGGCTGCCCAAAGGAGCCTGGCCCAGGGTTTCTCCCTTCTTCCCTCGATCTGAAGACTCTTCTAGGTTGCTTACAATGCTGCCTTTTAACTCTCCTTGCAGATGCTTGGCAACAGTGAGAAATTCGTCCCAAGGTTGAGTTTTGGGGTGTACGTGCACACACGCGCCAGGTGACAGACTCGGGTGAATGACTATGGGCTTGGCAGCTGCGGTTTGAGCAGGGAGAGCTTCTCTTCCCCCCCCCCCCCCCCCCCCCCCCCCGCCTTAAGAGGCCCTGCAGCAAACTCCCAGGATAGGAGGTGGCTTCTCCTGGCAGCCCCGGCTCACTCAGGTAGAGCTGCTGACGGAATCCGCCCCTCGGGGGCGTGGCCCTCAGTTCCCTGGAGCGATCAGTCACCCAGGGTGCTTCAGCTGGGCCTCAAATGCTTTGTTGTCTCTCAGAGCGCTGCCAGAAGTGCTCCTGCGCTGGGCGCTGCCGCTGCCGCTGCCGCTGCCGCTGCTCAGGTAGCTTGTGGCCCTCCCGGGCCCCCTCCTTTGCCGGCCCCCCTCCTTTGCCGGCCCCCCTCCTTTGCCGGGCCCCCTCCTTTGCCGGGCCCCCTCCTTTGCCGGCCCCCCCCTCCCGTTCCGGGTCGGTGATTTTCCCCCGGCCGCCTCGCCTCTCTCCCATTGTTCTCGTTCTCCTGCTTCCCCAGGGAAGGTGTCCCGGGAGTCCCTCGCTGCCCGCTGCGACCATGATGACCTCGAGCTACTGGAGTGAGAGCAGCAGCAGCAGCTGCGGGCCCCCGCAGCGGCCCGAGCCCCTGCACATCCCGCAGCTGCACCCCGGCTACCAGCAGACGCCCGAGAAGAACGTGGTGTACGAGCGGGTGCGGACCTACAGCGGCCCCATGAGCAAGGTGGTCCAGACTCTGGACCCCCTGGGCTCCCCCGCCGAGGTGCTGTCCCCGCTCAAAACTTCCTCTTCCTACCAAAACTTGGTGTGGAGCAGCGACCAGGTACCCCAAAGACAGCCGCGCTCCCGTGCGGGGGCAGCGCTCACTGCCTTTTAAAAAAACCCAAACAACCCCAGAACTCTTCTTTCCTGCTTTCCGCATGGCCTTCGCCATCTGTTACGTTCCTTGGGGCTTGTACATTACTGGGTTGGCTACTTTGCCCCTTAGTTGGCCCTGGAAAGCCACCTACTTCCTTCTCTTAGATGCCTGGTCACTGTGTCCCTTCCTGCTGTGTGTTTACCTTCACCGGCCATTCTGCTCCTCGTAGCCAATTGCGAGCAAAAAGGAGCTCATTGCTAGCTGTGTTTGAGTGGCAGAATTGCGACTTTTCAGCCCCTGCTTTCTACCAAAACTTATTTTCTTAAACTTTGCCATAATAGCTGTTTAGAAAGAGCCCCTTTTCTCTTTTTCAGTTCAGCTCAAAAGGAAACAGGCAGGTTTGTTGGGGTTGTGGTTGTTGTCGTGGTTGTGTAAAGCCAGTGTGGCCGCCCAGTCTTTTGGTTATACGTACATATTTTTGTATTGAACTTTGCTCTTGGTCTTGTGTGGAGCCTGAAAAATCACTGACAGATGCAAATGAACTGTCTGGTTGTTTGAATTGGCACATATGGTTCATCAGAAAATGACACACACCTTGTTAGCACAGAGGTGAATGAATTATGGAGGAGTGGTTGAGTAAATGAGCACAGGAGTGAATAGGTGTGCCCAGGGAGGAAGAACAAAACAAGCCCAAGATGAAGTGACTTTGTCAGAAGGAAGTGTGTGGTTACGCTGATTCGGGTGACATGTTGTATGGAATCCACTGGGCAGTACCATTACAACACGGTTGCTGGACAACTCGGGGCTGTGTTACTTGTGGGAGATCTACTTTGGATCTTCTCGTGGGCTCCAGATCTGCCATTACGCTCTTGTCAGAATCACTTCAATCCATATTCCTTTCAAACTTTCTTGGAATTTCTGCCAGAACTGAAACGATATCTTGAAGCCATCCAACAGCCCCCCGGGGGGAAAATCCTGGGCCACTTTCCATTGGCGTGCCATTTTGTGATGATAGAGACTAGCTTCAAAAGAGAAGTCCTTCATGGTTCAAATAGAGAAGGCGCCATATGCCTACGATTTACAATAGAACAATTTGTAAAAAAAAAATGCTACACAAGTCAGGGAAAGGTTTGTGTGGATTTCTGTGATCCTAGCCAAGTTTGAGGACAGACTCAGCAAGAAAAAAAAAAAAGCCTCATCTCTAGAATTGATTTCCTGAGCAAATTGGGGCTCTTCTGTAATTCAGTCAGAGAAAAGAATCCAGGTCAAAAACAGTAATTCTGAGCAGTGAGGACAATGCTCATCATGCATAAAGTGTAATACCCGGGTATTCGAATGCTAATTTCACAATTCATTCACTTTGCCAGTAGGAGCGGCCTCCTTTGCCTGGTAACCAAAGCAGTTATTATGCTAGCATAAGAATGTAAAGAAAGACGTGGGACTTGATGGATTGGTGTTGGCTGGGAGACCCTGAGAAAATCATTTCACTTCTCTGTGCTCCAGGCTGTTAGTTCTCTCAAACTCTCTAAGTGGCTGAACTGGTCTCTGATCTGCACTGATAGAAGGAGTTTCTTCATTCTGCCAATGAAATCACAGACACCCCCCTCCCCAAAGTGTTCTGTCCAATCATCTTCTTTCTCCATGTCTGGCTGCCCCCAGCCACCTCGAAGGAAGCCCCTACCCTAACTAGAAATGGGAAATAGATGCACCTTTAAAATTTAGAATTTTGGCTAATCATAGGCCTTGATGAGAGAAAAGTTTTCATGTATTACTCGCTATTGTATACTCTAGGGTAATTCATCTGAGAAGCTTTCTCCTTTTTGATATTCTCTGAACTAAGCTGGGCACTTTTTTTTCTTTTTGTTACAGACTTTTATTCTTTGTACCTGATTTACCTTGAGGTGATCTTTAGAACTGGGTTTCCTTCCTGAAAACGCGCTTCGGCCATAGATTCTGAAGGGGCTTTAGCCCAGAAATTGTGGCTATAGGAACTGGGATGGAAAGATTAGGCATTTGTGTTGGAGAGGAAAAGAAGCACCCTCAGGCATGAAGGCAGGAGAGAAGGAAAACAGGGTACAAAATCAGAAAGGGCTTGGCTAGGAAAAAACATTTACAAGTTGGAGTGCCTCTTGTCTGGTTCTTTTCTCCTTTGATTTCTGTTCTTCTAGAAGACAAATATTTTTTAATAGTATGGGATGATGTAAGGTAGTTGCTGAATTTCCAATGACATAGGCTTCATGCTCACCATATAGCTCACACATATTCTATTTACGTTATATTTTTAGATTTACCATCTCCTTGATATAGCTTGTTTCTGAAGCATTTGGAATTAGTATCTAACAGGTCTCTCTTTCTGTGTGTGTGTTTAACCTGTTGTTTTTATTATTGACTGTCCTTCATTCTTGAAGAGGTAGGGTCGGTTCCCCACCCCTGAGATCGGACATCTAAAGCCAAGAGATCGGACTGCCCATTTCTGGTCCTCATAAATTCAACTGAAATTTCGATATACTTTTTATTTTAAAAAGGTTTTAGATGTTTGATATTCAGATAGCTCCTAAGTACCATGTTAACATTAAAGTGTTAAAGCCTTTATAAATTGAATTTCGAACTGTTGTACTATATCTTAATTTGTAAGCAAACCATTGTCCCTTAGAACAAAAAAAAAGTTAGATTTCAACTGACTTTTAAATTGTCCAGTTCTGTCATTTTTAATGCTGCTTCCTCTGCAGTGTAATAAAAATGGGATTTATGCAGAAAAGTTTTCCAAATATGGAATGCTCCTCCATTATTGTCTGTATTAGACAAATGAGTTTTTGTGATTATCGGAGCTTCCATTTGATCTGCCTGATACAGTGTTTATGAGAAAATTAGTGTGTAGTTCCGTCTTCTGGCTCAGTTTAGGGATGATTAGAATTTATATAAGCATGGAAACTAGTCGCTAGTGAAATGTCAGTCAATAGTGAAATTAAAGATCCCAGATTCATCTGGATGAACAGAGCTGTCCAAGTCAAGAGATCGATTTTTGTCAGTCAAGCGAGCAGGCATTTATGAGGTGCCGGGTCCTGTGCTAAGTGCTGGGATGCAATGAATTTTTAGAACAGAATGAATTTTACTAAATGAGATCATTGTACCTCATTTAAAAAAAACAACAAAATATTGGCCCCCATGAATACCATTAATAGAAATAAAAATACTCTCATAGCCATCCTGGGTCTTGTATTTTTCTCTCCATTCATTTGGCTCTCATGGAGTCAAGTACATTACCGTGTACAGGATAGTGGCACCGTGCATGGCAAAGTGTGCCCAAAACATTGTCTTTATTTAAGACCATTAATAACATTAATTAATTAAAGCAAAGTTATCTTAGTGTCTATCGTGTTTATGTATAAGGCTCTCTTTTAGGTGGGGCAATGATTTCCCTATCATCTTGGGGAAGGTCACATTTGAGGATGGATTCTTAGAGTGCACAAAAACTTTTTTTTCCATTTAAAAATAACTTTGTGGTTTATCTCTCAGTAATTGATGGATAAAGGTACTTACACATGTTTCTACAGCGTTTCCGATTTCGTTTTGTGATCAAAGTTACCTCGAGGGATCTGGCCTCATTGATCGTGGAGCTGGCTTACCTATGTTGATATATGTTTAATGTGTGTGTGTTTGTTATGCATATAGTAGCTATTTGTGTAAATGTATGTATATACTCCTTTTTTTCCTGTTTAACTGATAGAAGAAGGCTCACCTGCCCATTCCAAACAAAGCTTCAGTATGTTTCCAAGGATGGATTTTTTTCCTTTGAAATGACACCCAGGGGCATGTTGCTTTGATCAATTGTTGTTCAAGGGTGTGGTCCTTTAGGTGAATGATTGTTCTTGGGAGTAGGCTGCTTGAAAAGAGGTGAATGTATCCATGTATCCGTGGATACATACCTAGTCAATAGTTTCTACCTTATGCAGCCTTTTGGAGCCTGAAATTAATTTATGCCATAGAAATCCTGAGTGCACTTAGTTGTAACTAATTGGTAGCTCACAGTAATCATACCACTTTTTACCTTTTGGGGAGACAAGATATATCATTAGATCTACTTTCAATCTTTCATAAATAGTAGTAGGTATACATTTTAGAGTTAAATTTGTCAAGATCTGATTTTTCCTAGTCAGCTATCTTTATCTATCCTTTGTTTTTTCCTGATAGTTCATGGCAACAAACACAACTGTGAAAGTTGCAAAGTAATGCAACTCTTTTTGAAAGTGTAAACCTTTCTAAACACAAATATTGGAGTCAACTTTTTCTTGGCAATAGCAATGATCCCACTCACTGTCGATTTGTGAGAGAGCACACATGCTTATGGTTTTTTCAAGACAGATATGGTATGCATATATTGCAGAAGGACTTTGTGTCTTCTACTTTTCTTAAGGATCGAAAAGAAATTAGGAATGATTCTCAAATGAGGGATTGGGTATGCGTATTCGAACATTGTATAGCTCTCCTAGCACAGGAACAGGATTATCATAATTAAAATGCCTCATAAAAAGATATCAATCTATCAGTAAACATTTATTAAACACCTACTATGTGTCAGGAACTGTGCAAAGTGCTGGGGATACCACAAAAGGTATAAATAAGACAGTCCCTGCTCTGAAGGAGCTCACAGTCTAATGGGGAGTACAGCGTGCAAACAATTATGAACAAATGGGCCATATGCTGGGTGAATTAGAAATAATGAACAGAGGGAAGACACTAGAAATAAGAGGGATCAGGAAAAGCTTCCCTTTTTTAATGTTATTTTTATTTCTTTAAATGATTTAATATTTTATTTCCCCACCAATTACATGCAAAAATAATCTTTAACATTCTTGTTTTTAAAATTCCAGTTCCAGATTCTCTCCCTCCTTCCCCTCACCCCTCATTGAGAAGGCAAGCAATTTGATATAGGTTATACATGTGCAGTCATGCAAAACATATTT